TTTCGAGGCATGTTCGGGGATAACAAACCCTTCTGGTTGTTCCATATAGATTTCTTCATCTAGATCACCGTTCAAAAAAGCAGTCTTAACATCCATTTGGTGTACCACGATATTGTTCAAGGCAGCAAGAGCAATCATGACACGAATGGATGTTATTCTAGATACTGGTGAATAGGTATCGAAGAAATCTATATTCTCTCTCTGCCTGTAGCCCTTAACTACTAGGCGAGCTCGGAACCTTTCGATTGCACCATCAGGTTTCCGTTTCGTTTTTAGAACCCATTTATTACCTAAGACTTTGCAGCCAGGAGGTAAGTCTGTTAGATGCCAAGTCTTATTAGCTTCTAACGATTCCATTTCATCTATAACGTCCTCATTCCAAAAGTCTGCATCTATGGAAGTTAATGCTTCCTGCAAACTTTTTGGATCTTCGAGGGTGTATACTATAGTAAAATCATCACCAAAATCTTTAGAGATTCTAGCTCTTTTACTTCTTCTGAGTTCATCCTCAGATCCAACACCCCCACTAGTTCCGTTATCTCTAATAGCGGGTAGTACATTACCCCCACTATTTCTCGTTTTAAATGGAAATCGTGTCTCAAAGAAATCAGCATCAATGGATTCTATTATAGTACGAGCATTCAAATCATAGAATCTATATACCTTACTATTGGCCGCATAGCCAACGAAGACACATTCATATGCTTGACTAGCCAACTTAATCCTCTTAGGATCTGAAATTCTTACGTAGGCCAAATAGCCCCACGTTCTTAAATAGGACAGATTAGGTGGCTTATTCTTCAAGATCTCATAGGGTGATTCTTTTCTATTTGTTTTTGGAAGATGGTTTAGCACATAGCAAACTGTCAACAAAATATCACCCCACCAGGAAGAAGCAGCTCCAGAATTGAGCATAATAGCCACAACTAATTCTGTAAACGTCCTATTTTTCCTCTCAGCTTTACCATTCATTTATGGTGAATATGGTGTCGTGGTTTCATGAAGGATACCATGTGAGCTATAGAATTCCTTGAAGGGATTAGAGTCATACTCTGATCCTCTATCACTCCTAAGTCTTTTTATCTTTCGATTGCACTGATTTTCAAATTCAACCACAAATACCTTGAACATGTCAAGGGCTTCAATTTTGTGTTTCATCAAATAAACAAAGCAATAATCAGAGCAATCATCTATGAAAGTGATAAAATATCTCTTGCCAGACCTAGTTAACATCCCATCTAGTTCACAAATATCAGAATGAATCAGATCTAAGGGTTCTGATTCTCTACTCACATATTTATGGGGCGTTTTCTTTATTTCAGCTTGGCTACAGAAATCACATTTATCAAATTCATTCATTGAGAGTTTAGGGATATGTCCTAGCTTGCTTAAATTCTTCATAATTCGTGTGTTCACGTGACAAAGACGAGCATGCCAAACATTCAAATCACACACCATGTAAACTGATGAATTCATCTTATTAATTTCGACATTCAACTTGAACATCCCATTACATGCATATCCCTTTCCCACAAAGTCCCATTCTTAGTAAGGGTATACAAGTCTGCCCCAATAGATTGATTAAACCCAGCCTTATTAAGAAGATATCCCAAAATAAGATTCTTCCTTATCTCTGGAGTGTGCAACACAACCTTGAGCACCATCTTCTTCCCAGAGGTGAAGTTCAACTCCACTTCACTAGAACCAGCAACCATAGTGGTGTGAGTAGTCCCCAGCAACACTTTCTTGTCAGCAGGTGCTTCTTTGTATGTTTTAAACATAGCACGATTGTTGCATACATGCTTCGATGCACCTGTATCCAGCCACCATCCTTCTGAGTCACTGGTGAGGTTGACTTCAGCGATCATATCCGTGATCATGGCTATCAAATCCTCTTCTGTCAAGTTAACCCTAGCCGCAGCGGCAGGGTTTTTGCTTGTTCCTGCACTTTTTTGCCATATGACCCGGTTTTCCGCAGCTATAGCAGATAAACGGTGGTCATTCTTAGAGGTTTGGGCCATGACCCTTTGGTTACCTCGAGAGGCATCATTCTGGTAGGGGCGGACCTGTTGGTTCTTACTCTTAAACCCTTTCTGGTTAGGTTTAAGAGCTCTAGGGTGGGTCGTTTAGCAGTGACGAACATCACCTCTTCTTTCATATCATGCTTGCGGGACTCTTCCTCAATCCTCAGGCGAGTAATCAAGCTTTCCAGTGAAAATTCTTTGGTTTTATGTCTAAGCATATTCTTAAAATCTTTCCACGAAGGGGGCAGCTTATCAATAATGCAAGCAACTTGAAATTGATCGTCTAGAGGCATACCTTCAGAGACGATCTCATGAGCTATTTTCTGAAGTTCGTGGGACTGAACTTCGACAGACTTGTCATCCACCATCTGGTAGCGTAGGTAGCGGCTGACAACATACTTCTTAGCTCCAGCCTCCTCTGTGTCGTACTTCTTTTGGAGCCCATCCCAGATCATCATCGCGGTGTTCTTGCTGTCCGCATAGTAGTCGTAGAGATCGTCTGCCAGGCCGTTGAGGATATAGTTCTTGCACAGGAAGTCATGCTCCCTTTCCTTAGCAGAAGCATCCCTCTCCTCGTCGATCGCTTCTTCCGGCAGCTCGACGGGCATGCTGGTGAGGCAGTGTGCCAACTTTTTGGTCGTCAGGTAGAACTCCATCTTTTGTCTCCAGCGATGGAAGTTGACCCCAACAAAGCGAAAGGGTCGACTGATATCGACAGCACCAGATCCGGCCATGTTGTTCTGTTCAGTCGACATAGCAGCAGCCGAACGTCTTAAAATTGTTAAGAACGGAACAACAACAAGAACAGAGTTACCGAATCTGGAGCTGAGTCGCGGACTAGGTCGCTCTCTTTAAGACGTTCGCGGCTCTGCCCTCAATGCCCACGGCAGACTATCAACCGGTCGCGGCACTGCCCTCCTATCTTTATACACATTTCACAAAGTAAAACTACCAATGTGGTAGTTTTTCCACTTGAGACTCTATAGCTTTCAAAGCTATTCATACATTTCCAACAAAAATCCTTCCATAATTAAAGGAGGGAGAAGTCCTTGGGACTACGACGAGGGTGACAGGAGAGCGCTCTGAAGCTTTCTTTTATTCCGCCTATGTGCTAGCTATTTCGGGGAAGGATTTTTTGTCCCTGACTCCCTGCTAATGCTCAAGTGGATAAGTTTCGAGTCCCAACAATGGGCATAATGCCCCCTGTACCATCCCAGTCGAGAAAGACGAGCAGGGTTCGAGCTGCAAGCTGGAAGTTCCGGAGGCGAAAAAATTCCAGTCACTACGAGAGCCGCAATTGCTATCGTTGACGTCCTTCGCGATTCGTGACATTGGAACCTTGCGGACAAGGTTCTCTGAGGGGGAAGGATTGATGAGGTTATTTTGGGTTTGGGCTTTGGGATAAATAAGTCTAGGTGTTTGTTTAATTGTTATGGGTTTAATTGTTGGGTCACGTAGCTTTGGCATGGGCCAATTAGTATATTATGTTAGTAGCCGAGTTAGAGTCTATGTTAGCTTGCCGAGTAGGGCTAGGTTAATTAGTAGTATTCGGGTAGGAATAGTTTACGTATTAGGTTTTCTAGCCTATAAATATGTAAGTTTGGCACTAATTTCATATCCAATTAATAAATCAAAGGTTTATAGACACCAACGTCTTTCTCTCGTCTGTGAATTACAAGCAAAATCCTTGAGCTGTGGGTAACAATTGATCATTTATCTTCTCCCAGATTTCCTCTTTGCATTCTTGTGTGATTAAGTTCTATGGTCTCCAATGCTTGTTTGAATTATACTATTTACTACCCTTCTCATTGAGTTCACATATACCACCCCCCCCCCCCCATCTACTCATCCCAAACCTTCCTTTCGTATCAAATTTCATAACATAAAGGTTAATATATTTGTATGGCCTTAACTTTGCACAAAATAAACATCATAACCAATCTTTTCGATCTATAATATCCTGACTCAAACTATACATCAAAGTAAATAAATTGGCCAAACTCGATGTTTGACTGTTATCTTGGACGGTCAAACGCGTTGACTAACTGTCAACGTGTCATGTCACTCCCAAGTCAACAACTTTCACTTAAAATTTTTTATATTTTCCACCTATTAGCATTTTTATTTTTCATTTTGAACCAAAAGAAGAAGAAAAATTAATTTCATTTTGAACTAAGAAAAAGAAAAATGATAATAGGTGGAAAATATAAAAAAATCTAAGTAACGTGGCGTGTTGACTGTTAGTCAACTCGTTTGACCATCCAAGATAATGGTCAAACATTAGGTTTGGCCAATTTCGTTACTTTGATGTATAGTTTGGGCCAGTATGTTATAGATCGAAAAGATTGGCTAGAATATTTATTATGTGCAAAGTTCAGGTCATACAAATGTATTAACCTTAACATAAAATACGATTCTGAAATATTTATATAAAATTACATATATAAAAAGAAAACAATTCATATAACATACAATATTTTAGTGATTGGAAAGTATATTGATATCCATAGAATTCAGGACATTTTTTCATATTACAACTTTTGTTCTGTTATAAAAATATGTCTTGAAACTTAATCATTCTCTTTTTTTGTTAGTGTCACCAATTCACCATCTTTTTGTTAATGCACTTAGGATTGAACTTTATCACATACTCCCCCCTTCAAAGAGCCCAAAAGCTCAACATGGGCCCATTATGCAATTCTGGTTCTGGATATACATATTTTTCCCCAATCTGGACCCACCTCAAAGAACAAACCAAAGAAGCAGGGGATGCCACGTGGCCTCCCCCACCCCCAAACTCCTTCCATTTCATATGCCAAACCAAAAGAGAAATTGTTAAATCCCAAGAAGAATTGGTGGGCAACTCAGGGGAAGGAGGAAAAGCATAAAAACAGAGGAGCTTCATGAACAAAAGAAAACAACACAGTTCCCACTATAAATACAAACTACCACACTCCCACTTATCCACAAAGAACTCACTTCCTGACTCCTCCCCATACTTTGTCTAAACCCAACTTGCAGTTTTCCAATTTCTTCTTTATCCATTGCTCTGACATGGCTGAATTTGCAGCAGAGGTTATACAGAGCTTCAGACCTCCATTCCCACTCCTGGAGCTCGATCCCAACACCGCCATGGAACAACAAATCCCTCCATTCACAGACCTCAACCATTTCAACAACGACGGTTCATCCAATTTGCTCCATAACTTCCACAGCTTCAACAACAACAACCCAATTCCCACAAATCAAGGGCAAGGCTTCTTCACTCCCCATCAAATGCTAGCATTAACCATGCCCGAAAATTACCCCGACGTCGTCGACGCCTTCCACCAGCAGCATCAGAGCTACATGAACGTTGTGGATGGCAACGGCGGCCCGTCGTCTTCATCGTCGGTTCCTTTCCACCAACATCATCAATTTCCAGAAAGCAGGAAGAGGAAAATGGCCCCTGCTGCGGATCATTTACATTTGATCTCGGCCGAAAGCAGCTCCATGAACATCCTGTCCCCTCAGGCGTCTGAGAGTGGCAACAAGAGGAAAAATGTACTGTTACATATAAACTTTTTTATGTCAAGAAACTGTAAAGAAATGTTCTTTTTGGTGTTTGGCTGATGGGTTGTTTTGCATTTGATACAATAGGGTTCGAGGAGAGGAGGAGGGAAGAGAGTGAGAAGCAAGGAAGAGGCAGGGGAGGGCTGTGGTGGAAATGAGAAATTACACAAGGAAGTGGTTCATGTCAGAGCAAGAAGAGGCCAAGCTACTGACAGCCACAGTCTAGCTGAAAGGGTAATTACTTACTAATTCATCTGTACTGTAATGATGATGATAATTAAGACGTTGGTAAAACAGTACTTAATTTGGTTATGTACATGGAAAAACAGGTGAGAAGAGGCAAGATTAATGAGAGACTGAGATGCCTGCAGAACATTGTTCCTGGCTGCTACAAGGTAATTATTATTATGAAGAATGCAACTCGTGGGAGTTAAGAATTGGTTTAGTAATTAAATTTTTTTTTTTTTTTTTGGGTAACAACAGACCATGGGAATGGCAGTGATGCTGGACGAGATAATCAACTACGTCCAATCACTACAGAATCAAGTGGAAGTGAGTTCCTTGATTCATTCATTGTACCAGCTTAATTGATGATTATTAGCATGATTTGGTGGGTCTTTGGAGATTAATTTAGTAATTAATTAATCAAATTGTTTATTGTGAAAATCAGTTCCTGTCGATGAAGCTCACAGCAGCAAGCACATTCTATGACTTCAATGCCGAGACAGAAGCTGTAGAGACACTGCAGGTATGTGACCATATACGCCAAAACACACATCTGACACTAGAGTTCTAATAATAATAATTATTATTATTATTATTTTGTATTTTTGTGGCAATATTCTCCTAATTTTTTATTAATATGTTAATGAATGGTATATATATATATATGATAATATGTAGAGGGCAAAGTTGCGAGAGGCAAAGGAAGAAGGGAGAGTGATGAAAGAAGGATATGATGGAGGATTTTCATGTTTCCACTCAACGTGGTCTCTTTGACTTCACTTTTGGATCCTATCGTTTCCCAATTTGCCATACTGCACCAAAGAAACTCAAATATATGTAGTGATATTTTGCTTCAAATATGTTAACTCTCATCTCATGTATGCTCTATACTAGATATCCAACAATATGTATGAAACAATTGGAATGAAGAAAAAAAACACATATATATAATATGATATAGTGTAATTGTAAAATTACTCTAAATGATTGACATGTGTGGGGAATTCAGTTGTAAGTCAAGTAAAATGTACACCGATTTGTATCGAAGTTATGTTAGTTTTAAATTCGGAGTGATAATCGATGTCAGTGATCTGAATGGAGTTTGGATAGAGATTTCTTCAAGCCTATGCTTTTTCACGTGGTATTGGAGTTATGAAAAATTATAGGCGATCTTAATTAATTATGAGTACCATCAAAGAAAAACCGGTAGAGGTATGAGAAGGTGGCGCAATCGGCAAGCATGAAGCCAACCAGTTGTGACCTGATTTTCTCGATGAGGGGGACAACCCTAATCAAGTCTTCATTGGAAAGCTGCTCATCGGTGAATCCAATTATGTATATTGGGTACACACAGCATGACAAATTTGCTTCTCGTAAAGAACTAGTTAGGATTCGTCGATGGATCTATTAAGGATCCGACTCATCCTACGAAAGTTATAGTGGCTCCACGGAGGTGCTGTCGTTAAGGGTTGGTTGATGTTTGTAATGGACAAGGGTGTCACGTAAGACATGCAAAAACTTCTTTCTAAGTCTGAACCAATCTCTAAGAACTATTTGTTTCAATGCACTGCAAAACATATACTGAAATTTGGCACTCATATGTGGTTCTTCTCGTTCACTGTAAATTACCTTTCTCTCATTGTTTTACTAAAGCGATCCCATTTTTGTATAATACTACGTTATTGTTTCCTTATATTACGGGAGAGTCGGAGTGGATCTAATAGAGGGATGAACCGTGTTGGTAATTTCTGATCTGATTCGCGCGACTCAACTTGCCCTGACATGTTTGAGGCGGTTATTACCTGACCGGCCCAGCCCCGTTATCGACCCATACTATCATGTTTTGCTTGAATCTAAAGGTATTTCTCCTCTTTCGACCTTTCCAAAATTATATTTTCATCTCGAAGAAATTTTAAGACTCTTATCTTTCAACTATTTAGACTCAATTATTCCTTCTATAGTATTCCTCGTCATTTATGAATTATTTTCTCTATGTGTTCTCGTAAACTATCTAGTTAAATATCAACACTCTATTTTCAAATAACATATAAGAATTGATCGACTCGTTCCTTACCGTACACGCGCGAATGTAGATATTGAAATACCCGGCCATTGCCATCACTAGAGCCCATCTTATATTTTTTGTTGGATTGGAACAATCATACATACGATGTTGGACTTGATCAATGATAAGGGAGATCGATCTTAGTCATCAACTAATGGAATAGTAACTTAGACCTCTACCTAATCTCCCATTATATCCTTATTACTTCCCCATAATATCTTAATAATGAACAATTATTTCTCGTGGGATTTGCAACACAGTGGCATCTCCTAATGACATTTGTGAAGGATACCATATCTTGTTGTTTGGTTGGATATGAACTTTAATGACCAAATCTGCCCCTTACCTCCTTCAAATAGAAATTGGGCTGGAAAAAGATAAACAAATAAAACTAAATTGAGAAGCCCCACAAATTATATATGTGGGTACTTACAAGAATTTTGATAGATGCAGCCAATCCAATAAGTGACGGATTGGAGTGGGTATTTAATATTTATTCATTTACTTATATTTTCCCCCCTTTTCCGTTACTAAAAAGGGTTGATCTTCTTTTCCTTTTGTTGGCTTGTTAAGTTGGGACATATGGGAAGAAGGAAGGTAGAGGGAAAATTGGTGGGCAAAAATAGATGCATTGCATCCAACAAGAGGAAGTGAGAAATCAATTAAAAGCAAAGACAAAAAGGAAAGGACAGATGAAAATGGGCCCATGGCTTGCCCCAAAAATACTGAATGGGCTATGTGGGCTCTCCAATATCTCTCACCAAAATAGAAAACAGAGATAAGGACCAAGTAATGAGATTTTTTTTATCAATCAATATTTTTTTTTATAGATTGTAATAAATTATCATTACATTACCATTCTCATGGAGATTGGTTTCGTGTAATTATGAAATTTGGGTGATAGTTTTGCCACACAAAGAAATGGACTAATAAGAATAATGTCGTTTGAGAGTTCGAGATATAGGACCGAGTCTTGAATTATTGTTTGACTAGAGGTAGCTTCAAAAGAGCTTATTATTTTAACCTACCTCTCTCCTAGGGCTGGCAATCGGTTTTCCGGTTAGCGGCTAACCGGTCGGTTTCGACCGAACCGACCGGTTTTCGGCTAACCGAAAAACCGAACCTAAAGAGCACGATCGGTTGGCGGTAGAGGAAATCAGTGGGCCGGTTAGCCGACTAACCGGGGTCAGAAACCGGCGGTTAACCGGCTAACCGACCCCCTGCCCTTTCCTTAAACGACGCCGCCCCTTGCCCCCACTAACCCTAAGGCAACGCGGCTCCAGCCTCCACCCTCGCCCTCCAACTGCCACTCGCACGCAGCCTCCTCCCCCAAATCAGTCGACAATCGCCGATCCCCCTCCTCTCCTTCTCCTTTCTCGCCGACTAGCCCTTCCCCTCCACCATCGTCGCCATGTCCCATTTCATCCGGGCCGCTTCCTCTTACTTGTCCTCCACATCTGCAACAACAACCAAAAGAAAAAAACACCCCCGAGTCAGTGAGCGAGTCGAATGGCAACTCAGCGAGCTTAAATCAAATCCCTAGGTAGAAGTAGTTCCAGAACTTCCAGTACCTTTGCCGCTGAGGAAATCGGCGCCGTCGTCGAAGAAATCGAGGTCGTCGGGGAGGAAGAAGTCGGATTGGGGATCCTGGTAGCGCTCCTGGAGCCAGTAGTCGCGGAACCAGGTGGAGGATTGGATGAGCGACCACCACTGATCGGAGAAATCCTCCACCGCCTGGTAAGCCATCGGGACGAACAGCGGGGCGTTCGGATTCAAGGAGGACGACGAACATCCATTCCTGGGAAGAAGAATCGAGAAAACGGAGGGGAAGAAGAATCGAGAAAATCGGAGGGGTTAGGTTAGGAGTGAGTGGTTCAGATTTCTCGTTGCTTTTAATTTTATTTTTTTTTATTTTTTTTAGAAAATGTAGTTTCCAGTTGGCCGGCTAATCGAGTCGAAACCGAAAACCGGACGGTCGGTTTGCGGCTAACCGAGGTGCACAGACGGTCGGTTGGCGGCAGCTCTGGTCGAGGTCTCGGTTTGACCGATAACCGACAATTCGGTTTTCGGTTAAACCGAAACCGACCGAGTGACAGCCCTACTCTCTCCCACATCATGAATCTATGACCTCGATCGACTGGCCTTTCTTGTGGTTAGTCGAATTGGTTAACTATTGAGCTATCAAGCCTAGATGAGGAGCTGACTTTCGTTACTACCACAAGAGAGCTAATAGTAAGAGCAAAATTCACTAACACAAGAGAGCTAATGTTATGGGGATTTAATTGAATCGCTATTGTTTGTTGGAGTATAAAATTGGAACATGGTGTGGCCCATGGATTAATTTTTTTTATATCCATATTTGTGGAGTCTAAGAACTTGCAAATACAACATTTCATTAGAGATTTAATTGAGAAAAAATAAATTTGTAAGACCCATGATGCAACAAAGTATTAATTCATAACAAAAAATCAACTAAACAAACAATGAAGTCTTTCAAATCTATACTGCAATAAATCTTTCATAAATTTATAGATTTTCAAAACTCAAAATCCTCATTTGTAAATTCTACAAAACCCTTCAATTCTCAGGGGATCAATCCCATGGCACTCCCTTGGTTTGGAGTTAGAAGTTAGAACACCATTTCTTTTTTATAACTTTTATGCTCCACAACAGATTTGAACACATAAGCTTCTGGTCCTCAACTTGCATCTCTATCATTTAACCATATAGTCATCGATGTGATATATTAAAAAATTTCATTACAAATTTACAATATTTGTAACACTCATAATCACTTATAAAAGTACTATACAAAATTCTAATACTAAACAACCTCAAAATATTTATTTTTTCCTTCGATCAACATATCAAAAATTGCTCGTAACCTCAACTCGTCTTCCACTATAAAAACCCACATTCCACCACATGCTCCTATCTATAGGCGGAGGGAGAGCACCTGGGATGTGTCTCAGGACACATGTGAATTCTAGGGGTAAAAAAAACACCCCATGTATGTCCACCTCAACTCGTCTTCCACTATAAAAACTGTCCCAGGACACAGATGAATTCTAGGGGTAAAAAAAAACCATGTATGCCCACCTCAACTCGTCTTTCACTATAAAAACTCACCTTCCACCACATTCTCCTATCCATAGAGGAGGGAGAGCACCTGGGATGTGTCCCAGTACACATGTGAATTCTAGGGGTAAAAAAATACCCCATGTATGTCCACAACATCCTTCAAACCCATGACCTCACCTGCGTATAAGATTGTCCACAACAACCTTCAAACCCAAAGTAAAATCTCTAATCAATTTCTCTCTCTATCGGGCAATTTCTTTCTTCTTTCAGAACCAAAAACGCTGCTTTCTTGCAGCCACAGCGAACAAATCCATTCCTCCCTCCCCTTCAGCCACGGTGTCAACGTCGGTGAACTCTGTACCCCTCGTCAGCGACAATTGCTGCTTTTGACCAGGAGAAGTTGTTTAGTCTTACTAGATTTTATCCTGATGAGTTTGGTTCCATTCATGATACTATCATTCGACAACAGCTTGTTGGGTATGATTGATGAGAGATTTGTCGGGGTTGAAAGGAATTGATGAATTATCTCAAGTTATGGTGACGACAAAAGTGCATCTGTCATATCCGTCAGCTTATTTACTTCTGAAGCTAGTTTTGATTCTACATGTTGCAACTGCAAGTGTAGAACGAGCATTTTCAACTTTGAGCTATATTAAGAACAAACTTCGAAGTAGAATTGGTGATCAGTTTGCTAATGACTGTTTAGTTGGATATATTGAAAAAGACTTGCTTACGAGT